GTGAAAAGAAATTACGAGTTGCAATGGGAGTAGGCCCGAACCGAACCCACGGAGCCGGACCCGGGATGCTGGAGGATCTACAATGGGAGGAATGGCGCACAATGGTTCGAGTCAAAAGGAGATGTCGGACAAAATTCAGAAACTTTAGACGCTTATAACTCCATTTATACAAAACTTTGAGGTTCTAAAGTTGTTTTCCTTGGTTTCCTCGTGTAATTTTCTGTCAGATGTACCCCTTGAAATGTAAAATATGATGAAATAAATACCAAAATTTGCAGTTTTCGTCGAACATTTCATGTCCGACCTCTCCTGTTGACTCGATCCACTGTGCGGCGCAGGCGCAGACCTAATTGGTAGCCGAGCGGGAGGCAGGAGGCACGGAGGCAAGGTTTGCCTTACCTGTTTGCCACATCGGGCCTAAAAACTCGGATTAACCACCGCTGCGCAGTGGGTCGAGTCACTAGGAGAGGTCGGACAAAATTTGGAAACTTAAAACGCTTATATCTTCATTAATATATGAAATGTTGATGTTTTAAAAGTAGCCTCGTCAATTTTCTTGTAAAATTTGCTATTAGAAAATTAAAATTGTGACGAGATAAATGTAAAATTTTACATTTTTTGTCAAAAATTCCATGTTCTACCTCTTCTAAAGACTCGTTCCACTTGCGCCGTTGGTTGAGGGATTGATCGAGAGGACCGCTGGTCCCGGCCGAAACGCAAGTTGGAGGTAGGGATGGCGGCTTTTTCGAATAAATCGATTTGACTTTTCCCTAAAAAAAATGATTCGATTTTAAAACCGGATGGAAAATTCAATTTTCAAATTGGATGGAAAAAATCGATTTTAAAAAACTTACAAATCCAAGTTCGGCGCTGAAGCAAGGGATTCCAGGGTCTACAGGTCCTGAAAATCCCGGAAGTCCTGGAAAAGTCCGAATTTGCTTGGCTGGTCACGAATAAGTCCGGAAATTTAACTCAAGGTCCCGAAAAATTTAAAAATTCACGGTTTTCGCGAGTCAAAGTGTAGTTGTTACGTAGAAAAAATGTCCCCGATTATACATACATTTCATGGATTCTTTTAGTCATCAGCAATTTTCATGAAGGTGGACTCTATTTCCATTAAAATTAGCAGTAAGTGTAGACCCTGACTTGGCAAAAATACTCCTATCCGAGGGTCCTGAAAAAGTTCTGAATCGGTCCCGGAAAAGTCCTGTAGACACCCTGGATTCAGACTTCAGGTCGAATGTGAGAAAATGAAATCATACTTCGAGCATTGCAGCATTGGGATAAGGCTCAAAGTACGAGAATTCGGCTCGCCAGAAACTTGGAGTCATTGTGGAACGGTATTGTTTTACACAAGTTCCGCCGAGTCGACAAACTAGTGTCGTCAGTCTGGCCTTGCTGACTAGCCTGGAAAAATTTAAAAGATGTGACCATCGTTGCCATCTCTTGGCAGATCGCGCGGGTTATTTCACTCAGTCGCGGAAACTGAATAAATGTGACAATGGAGCTCTTGCGCGTGCAGGAATTTGCGGTTTAAGCACTGATCCTCATGTTAAATTTTGCAAGAAACACGATCGTTCCACTGGTTTTATCTGAAATAAACTCCAAGGCTCAAAAATCTCTCCAAGTTGAGGCCGAAAGGGGTAGGGGGATATCCTAAGAGTCCACCATAGAGTACCTGTATATTGGAAGTATTGCCATCTCTGTGCCGCTCTTTGATTGGTTCATCAGTTTTAGGCTATCATGGAGCGCCAAAGTTGGCACAATGTAAACAAACCCGACCCAGAGGAACACGTATTATTGGCTGAGAAATGAATAATAGTCACACTCAAAGGTTAATTTTCGGCAAAAATATTCATCAAAGTTCGACCCGATGATGAAATTTGTCTCAAATTCGTAATTACAATTCTTTCAGTTTTGAAAGATTCTTGATAAGGACAAATGTGACACGCATCCTCCCTGTTTTTTCATGACTGTAGAGTCAGAATACTCGACTTGGTATCCGGCTTGCAATCGAACAAATCTCAACGTCTGTTCTTTTTTTCTCTTTCCAGCCAAAGTCAAAAACAAAGGATTTATACCAACAAACATGTGCCTACCTCTGTGCGCAAGGAATGCTCGACACACAGCTCTTTGGCTTGGCCATCGAGTTAGGTGAGTGATCCAACTTTTTCTATGTAGATACAACATTTTACTCCTTTGTCTATCAATCGGACGGATTCAACCGGAATCAACCTTTTTGCATTCACGTTGTCCAATTTTCTCTCATGTTTATTTTATTCTTTACCAGAGCACTAAACTACATAACATCTTTCAATTCTTCGTGAATTTTTATAGGAACAATTATTACTGAATTCCAAGTTTCAGTGATGCTTAATAATTCTCTGTTGAAAAAATAAAATATCAGGCAAAACAATAGGCAACGTCTGATTTAATTAAGCCGATTCCGTTTAAATTTGTCCAATTTGTCAAAGTGCGTTTTTCTTCAAGCGATTTTCTTGCATATTTTTTTTTCTTTCGTATTTGCGGATCAAACTCTTAGATGTCATGAATTATCTCTGTGCTCTGTAAAAATTAATTGGAACAGAGCACTGACTTGTGTCTTTTTTTGGGGCGTTCCGAAGAAGAATGTCTGATTTTAGTCGTATCGAACACCCCAAAAAATCCTGTCAGAATACCAAAATCTCTACAATCTTCATTTTTATGACAACATTGTGGAATGAGGGGGATATTAATGCAGCTGGTTATTCTTTGCCAGATGCTTGAAACAGCTTGAGATGGAAATCGTTGTGGTCAAACATAAACGTATGTTTTCTGATAGATTAACACAGTTAGCGAAACGTTGCTCTTTTACTCTCTGTTTCATCTCTCTCCGATATTCTTTTTCTTTTTGAATCCGATCTTCTAAAGTATTTTCAGTGCAAATTTTTATTAAACTTCGTTATTTACTTTTCTTCAACGGCCCAATGGCCGCTGGCCGCGCCAACTAATTTCGCGCGAAGAACACCCAGAAGTACCTTTTTCATGGCTCAACGAGCCAGGCTCACAATTCAAACACAAACAAAAATACGGAAGAAACAAATTTGCTGGTTCTGAACATTTCTGCCAGAGAACAAGGTGGTATAATAGTGCTGGGTCCACATTATTTTTCGGAGAAAACGAGGCCAAAACCTTCAATCAGTCAAAAATTTGAATTTGAACTTTGAACTTTTTTGCATTGTTTTCCCCACAAAAAAGTGTGGACCCAGCACTGTTTTGCCCACCTTGTTTTCATTCAATTCGGGACACTTTCTTAGTGATTATTCTGTTAGAGCGAAAAGAAGAGTTCTCTCTTACAGTCTCTCTTCACTATTTCTCTCTCTTCTCTTTAAAACATCACAATGAACACAATTTCCACCTCGGGAAAGTCTGAAGCACATCCATAACTGAACAATCTGCGTAAGATATATGCGTTTTTTTAAGCTTCCCGCTCTAAAGACGATACTGCGCACGGCACAGGTGAACATTTTGAAGGAGGAGTCGTTCCGGCTACCCCTTACGCACTACGATGCTACGCAATATTCAACATGGCCGACGCCAACCCGCCAAAACAGTGAACAGTGTACCTTCTCTCGGATTTTGAATTAGTACCACTGGATAATACGAGTTCATAGGTTGGCTGCCTTTTTGGGTCCCAAGTGCTACCTGACCTGATCACACCTAACCTCCAAATTTTGGAGTTGACCATACTCTCTCTATAAAGGCACACTACCTCTAAGTTGGTCGAATACGATTAGATGCAGAATCTCAGGTACACCCGATGACGCTGAGGACGCGCCGGATTCCCACCGTTCAAGGGCGAATTCCTGCGACTCCTCAAGGCGGATACCCACCGTTTCTTCCTCTCTCGGGGGGATCTCGGGCTCGGCCCCAGAGACCGGCTGAGG